TCATTTAGAACCAAACTGCTGTTACTAACACCTCACGAATGTGGGGGTTTGGATGGGTGGGTTGTTTACTTTTTTACTTTGAAAAGTGAAGTGCTTGCACTTTGCCATGTATTTGATTAAATTAACAGCTTCTAAAAGCATGCTTTAATCAAACCAACTGTATGTTATTCTCTGTGTACTTTCTTCATCAATATCTCTTGTGTCTGGACTATAACAGGGCAGCAGTCTGATAACTGATTATACATTGCACAGAATAGTATACACATCAATCCTGTATAAAATATAAAGATTGGAGCAGCTCTTTGAGCGTTGTGATAGATGAGCACATTTTATGAAGGTATTTAAGTCTCACCACCAGTGGTAATGCTGTTGAAAGACAAAAGAATAATAAATGCTGAGATACCTTGGATCAAATCCGGTTAGTAGGATCTTTACTGATTTGGGGTGGAAGGAATTAATTTGCAACACTGTAAAGTGTAAACATTTCTTACAAATAATTTGTGCTGAATTTCCTTGTTGTGAGGCAACCTGACATCTTGCTGCTGGAAGTAGTCACTTGCCACTTCCTTTGTCTTAACTAGACACTTCTTTTACTTCTTGCTTTACTAAGTTAAATGAGCATAACAACAAAGTACGCAGTTGTTTTCTTTTGATGCAGGGTCGGGCAGGTGAATCCACCCACAAGGAGAGTGGTAGAGCCAGCAAAAAAAAGTAGTGGAAGTGCAAGGGCAACATCTGGAACAAAGTAGGAAAGGATGACAAAGACTGTTTCTTCAGCAACAAAGTGCTAAGCTGAATGCTTAGTTGTCTAATGGAATTTTAGCTTTTAGGAAGCCCAGTAATGCTGGCAAGTTATGTGGTTTTTTCTACTTGCTTGATCACCTGATAGCAATATTCCATTTGGTTTGAGGAATTAGATCTTTTGTCACTCATTTCAGTATTAAAGGCAAGATATGTAACAAAAAGGCTGGTACCTTGGCTTTTTTTTGTTATTCCAAAATTATAACTTTGGTTTCTGGTTGTTGCTGAAGTAAAATTAGGTCACAAGGAATTCAGCAATGTACTTGGACTTATCAAGTAGAGAAGATAAAGTGTATCCCAGTAAATGCTATTTTATGTAAGCTGCTCTACTGTAATTTTTATGTTGAAAACCCACTCCAGAGACTTTATAGATTAATGATAACATACATTTCTGAAAGAGCATATGCCTCATTGCTAAATGTCATCTAGAATTGGATTTTAAATTTAGGTTATTAGGAAACATTGCTGAAAGAGTGTTCAGGCTTTGGAACTGGCTGCCCAGGGAAGTGATGGAGTCACCATCCCTGGAGGTATTTAAAAGACATGTAGATGTGGCACTTGGGGATATGGTTTAGTGGTGGACTCGGCAGTTCTGAATTAATAGTTGGACTTGATGATCTTAGAGGTCTTTTCCAACCTAGATGAATTTATGATTCCATTCTATATTTCATTACAGGAGTGACTGCAGGCATTTTTTGTATCAAGCAGACATCAGCTTAGATGCATGCTAGAGCTGAAGTCTGTACGACTGCAAATAAGTAACTCTTCTGGTTTTGCCATTTTTCAGCCTAATGTGACTGATTGCTTTAGATTCATCACTTTGCATGTTCTGCCTCAGTGGTTGTGAGAGTGCATTTGTTTTTCCAGTAAAGAGCATCATCTGAGCACTGACTCTCAGTCAAGATGGTCAGTGCTACTTTGAGCTGTAAGTTACAACCTAGAAGTCACACGTAACAGAGTTATGGCAAAAAGCTTTTAATATTGTCTAAACAGTAGACTAAGAAATTTCCAAGTGTTGTTACAGAATGGGAATTCCTATTTGAACAAAGATACTGTTACTTTTTTTCAGGTCTTTTTATTACTAGACAGTTTTGTAAATGTAGCAAAATTTAAATATCATCTGAAACAGCACTTTTTTTCTTTACCCTTTTGCCTGTGTTTTATGGGTTTGAAAACAACTCACTTGCAAATGCCTCTGTAAAGAAGTGATGTCTGTGTGTATGCTGGTTCTTGAATTTTCTCAGTGTTTGTGTGCTATATGGTTTTACAATAAGGAAAATACTCTAAAGGTATGTAGGTGTACTAAAAGAGAAGGAATTGAGACAAATGTAAAGAAAACTAGTAGGCAATCTGCTTCATTAAATGTAGAAACCTTAACATGATACTGGGTTTCAACCCAAGCAGGAAATTTTAGCTATGCCATCATGGTGCCAGAGTATTTCTTTGGAGTAGTATTTTCTAGGAATCATTTGGGAAAGAAAGGTTACCTGGAAACATGAAGAATAATACATTTTTTTATTCTACATGTAATAGTTCATCAGTTTTCTTTTTGCTTTAGTCCTCTCTTTAGGAAATTTAGATCTTTAGAAAACTAATCTTCCTGAACTGCTATAAAACCTCCATGTTTCCAAAGCATAGAAATGATATAGTTGTATTAATGATGAACTGTTGAATGTCACTAATGAAGGTCATAGCTACATATGCTAAATCATCATCCTGGATCAACATTTGCATTTGTTGTTATTTTGACATACAACAATTTCAATGCAGTAATAGCTGTTAATTTCTCTGGATCATCTTGGGGATTCTTCTCCCATACTTTGGATATATTTTTGCTGGTTTTGCATTCTAAAGTGAATTGTGTTCAGTATAGTTTTCCCTTCCTATTCAGAATTAGTAGTGAGGAGAGTAAATAAGCTGACCTTTAAGACTCTTTCCCGCATTTCTGCGATACCTTTTGATGCGACATCCCAGCCTAAGTTTTGTCAGCATTTTCCTGAAAGTGTTGTCAGATGTGTTAGGGGTTAGACACCACAAACATGCTTGAATGAATATTAAGAGAAGTTCGCTTCTATCAGCAACAGCACAAATTCACATCCGGGAATACCAAGACTGGAGAAGTTTGTTCCTTTCCTGAGCCAGTGCTGACATTGGTAATTTGGTTGTCATTTCTGCAGTCCTCTGGCAGCAGAGGACTTTTAGATACAACAATAAATTCTTCTTGGAATTGGTGCACAGGTGTGATGTTTTATTCCCCACTCCATTAAAACCAGTTAAAATTTGGACATTATTTTTTATTTCACTGGTAACGGGGTTTTTGGTTCTGAAAACTTCAGTGAATTTCCTTGTCTAAAACCACTTTCAAGTCAGGACTTGTCTTCATCAAAGAAGGAAGTTAATGTCAAGGTTTAAGGCATGATGTGTGATTAGTATACGATTTCTGCAAGTCTGGGGTATGTGTAAGAATCTCCAACTACTGTTGCAGATGCTTCACTTTGATATCATTTATTTCAATAGACAAATGAGATCTATTCAATCCTAAAACTTTGGCATTCTTTGTCTCTTTTTTTGGGGAGATAGGAGGCATGTTGCTGAGTAGGGACCGTGTTGTAAGCAGAATTCAACAAGGAACTTCAAATGTCTGTGATATAGACATCCGCACTTAAACTATGGGGCACCATATCGAAAATACACTGGTTTGGAAAAGGGGAGGTCAGTTTTCATTACTGAGAGGAAAGCACCATGTGGACTTAAATGCCAACATCTGAAGGAAATCCCATTTCTTAGTAGGATGTCTTATTTGGATACCATTATAAGGCAATAAATTTTGTGTGCTTTCCAACAAGATCACTGTGGAGATCTGTAGTGCTCTCTGCAGCAATATCAAGGCACCTAGACTTGAATCCTGTTGCAGTCAAGTAACTTTGTTATGCTGAGAAGGCTGCTGATGTCCTTTGCATTCAGAGAATTAGGAGGGTTTGCTTTGTAGAGTTCAAATTAAAAAGAACTTACAAGAGACAACAATTAATAAATTTAAAAATGAATAAAGGGTAAGGATAGGTTTCCATATGTGATCTTTAGTTCCCAGGTTGCCTCCTAATGACTGACTTTCCCTCCACATGGACAGTCTCCCTTTTTTTTTTTTGTTTTATTTCTCTCTTTAGAATTTTAGAATACAGCACTTACAGCAAGTGATTTTACATATGGATTCACAAAAAATAACTAATTTTACCCTATAATTCTTCTAGCTACTACTTTGTTTTAGTGTATTTTGTGAAGTAACATCCCAAACAAAGGGCTACAGAAAAGGAGCAGATCTTTGAGAGGTTCATCAGTCAAACTTAGCTCTGAAAATCTAATCTCTCTCTGAAGAGTTGCAATAGGAGAAGTTAGATGCCAGGACGAGGTTTTTCTTCTGAGTGTTCGTTTCAGGGTTAGCTGGCTGACAGGTCAACATCAGTATTTCAGAGAAGTCACTGTAAGGGCTGCTATCTGTCAGATTTGATGAGAAATGCAGGCAAAAGAAATAAGATGTTCTGAAAAGAGCTACAAAATTAATTGTAAATAAACGTTTTATTTTTCCTAAAACCCTGTGATTTTTTCCATAGTGTATTATTTTGTTGATAATAAAATATGAAGTATTTTTTCCAAATACATATGAATAAGCAGGTAATATGCCGAACAGTAAATATCAAAGTTGCTGTAGTCACTGTACCTTTACATTATTTGGATTTTTGGTTAGTATATTTTGAACTTGAGTATTTGATCTTAATGGATGACATTTTCTTACTGTGTCCTTCACTTAGTACCTTTCTGCTCACCATGACATTTAATGAAATTTCAGAATAGCACCAGTTCTTTAGTATCAATTATTCAAACATATGCTAGAAAGACATTCAGAAACATGTTTGGTCTTGCAGTGATTTGTGATACTTTTTGTAAAGCTAAGTTAATGAGATAGCAACTGTGTTTATTTAAATGGATTGAAATGTTCAGGAATTGTCCTGAATTGTAAGGTGTACATTTGTTTAATCAATAGAAGGTTTCATCTGAGATCCTATCTATTAAAAAAACCCAGATAGTCTGTATTTGATCATCATATTAACATAAAGTACCTATTCTTCAAGTTGATCACCATGAATACATTATTACTCAAATTTAGTTGTTTACATTTAATTTTTTTGTTTGTTTTCACATAGGGAGACAATTTTAAAGACGATCACTGGGCACCCGTTGACGAAAGCAAAGCAGAAGAAAAAGCGAAAAAGAAACAAAACAATGGAAACTAATCACACAGAAATTATGAAGAAAATGTTACATGGAGTAGATTGTTATCCAACTCCAGGTGACCAGGACAGATCAGAAAGTGAAGAGGAGGATGTGGAAGAAGAAAACAGGAAATCATTGTGTACATTCAGCAAAGGTCCAAAGGATCCAGTAATAGTTTGTGAAGAGCAGCCTAAAAGTGATGATGAAAGCCTAAGAGAAACTGCAGGGGTTTCAAGAGAAAGGTTTCTGGTTGCTGTGCCTGAGGTCTCAATGATGTCAAACAGTGCACTGAAAAACGAATTGCCTGTAGAAAGTGACAGTTCACTCTTAATAGATGTAAAACTTTTTTCTACTGAAAACCTAACCAAAAATGCGTTCAATGATGAGGAAGCAAATCAAAGGCACAGAGAAAATCTTTGCAGAAGCAGTTTCCTAAAAATAAGCAATGATGAAAATTCCATCCGTGAAACAGAAGGCGTCTCTGAAGATAATGACACATCACTGTTAAGCATAGAAGAAAAAACGAAATCGTGTCAAATTACATGTGAACCTGACTTGGAAGCTAAGCTGATAAGTTTAAACAGTGAAGAAAAACAAATCTCTCAGTGTTACAATTCAAAGGTACGTGATGTTGTGCCTGATAATAACACAGAGGGCAAAGGTGCATTAAAAGCAGAAGAGACTAGCTCTAATGCCTGGGCTTCTTTTTCAGTAAATTTATCTACTGAGGAATTGCAGCTGGGCTTTGATACACAAGTTTCTCTCTCTCCTTGGTCTGAGGATAAATTTGTAGGTGAACGAAGACCCCAAAAAATGAGGAAACCTAAACCAACTCAGACAAACAGTTCACAGCTAAACTGCGATCAGTCAAAAGAAGGATTAGTAAAGGAAAAACGTTATGAAACAGAAACTGAGGAGTTTGGCAACATAATAAGCAATGGTATGTCTGCATCTCCAGCTGGTGAAGTGCACTTTGATTCCCTTGTGGAAGCCAGGGCCACCTTCATGCAGTGTTCGAGTGAAGTAAATGTTCCAATAAATGATGCTACACCAATTACATTGAAGAGGAAAAGGTGCAGGAGAATTGTTAACTTAGCACCAAAGTTTAACCTACCAAGAGAGATTGCTGATCATACAGAGGGAGGGAAGGAAGTCCCAGTAAAAGAAAACATTCCCCAAAAAAGTGTTTTGGAAGTGAAGCAAAAGAACTTCCTAAGCAAGGACCGTGGAGATGCACATGAACAGGACTCTGCATTGCAGGAATATTTTGTACCTTACAGTGACACCGAGGCAACCTCTTCCTTACCCACTCCTGATGCTGATGCTCTGTTACACAATATTTCTCACATTCATTCAGGACAATGTTCTCCGGTATCAAAATATTCCTGCAGTGTTTGTGTAGCTTCCAGAACAAAGGAGGAGCAAACTACAACTCTTAAGATGCAAGAGGTAGTTGATAAAAAAGAGGATGAGAGCGAACAAGTTTCTTCAGAGGTTACAAATGGCCAACCAGATATTTTGTCTTCTGTTAAAATTGTTTCGGAATATCCAGAAGATTCCAGTATATTGGCAAGCTGCAGTGAAAAGGTGAATGAAGCAGATGACCCTGAACCAGCAGAGGCCTCACAACCTGAAGATAATCAAGATATGGACGTGAAATGCAGTTTTCTGGGACTTCCCTTATCATTAGGATTTGCCTTTCAACTTGTGCAACTCTTTGGTTCTCCAGGTCTTCCACTGGGTATAATACTCTTCTTACTACTCCTACGTAAAATAAAAGAAAAACAGCAACTCAAACCCCAAAAATCCCACAACCCCTCAAAACCACAAACAGAAACCAAAGCACTCCCTCCAAACCAAAAAACAAACAAAAAGACTATGATTAAATAATAATTTTTATTGCAGATATTAGTTAAATATTAATCCTATTGAGATGAATCACTGCTACTTTGGTGATAGTTTCTGTCAAAAGCGGCTTTTGGTTTGGCCTCGTATTTTAAGTTTTGTTAGTAACAAAAATTTACTAACTTTAAATCCAAAGCTCTCATTGCCATTTGAATCCATCCTAGTGAGTAAGACTTTATTACTGTATTAATTACAGAACTAAATGAAAACATGTTACAAAATGTGTGCTCTTATATATATATATATATATATATATATATATAAAGGTTGTATGTCTGCTTTTATATTCCATTTATATTTCCAAATATAAAACCATTCTGGTTTCCTATTTCCCAAAATCTATTAATTTGAAATTGAATACCAAACTTCCAAGTTGCATTTTTGATAGCGAATACCTTCTTTTTAATCATGCATTGTTAAGAAGTGTCACAGTGTTGTATACTCACTTTCCAGGGCTTCAGTTGTCATTTTTTGTATTTTCAGTTTAGTCATTTTAAGTTGGAAAGTAAAAGACAATCAGTCCTCAAAGGAGCTGTGTGTGGCAACCATCATTTCCAAATGTACTGCAGGCTAAGGTAACCCTACAAAGCTGTAACCAGCAACAAAACCATGTTTTATTGGGAATCACCCTGGGATACAGTGCTGTGTATGCACCTGCTGAAAGAGCCATGTTCCCTGTGCATTTGGACCCTTCAAATTTTTGGGTCCAAATTTAGTGGACAAACTGTAGCTTTCATTTAGCCAAAAAATAGGATTAAAAAACACAGACCAGCTTTTCAGCACATAGACCTTTACATCTGTTTGTTTCAGTAGAATTTAAAGTTAAGCATGTATTTTCATGTGACAACTGGGAAGCACCTGTGTCTGTTTGTCTGGCCAAACTAACCTCAGCATTCTTTGTTTTTATTGTAAACGTTGATGGCAATACCACCTGCCAGAAGAGTGATGCAAACCATGGGAAGTATTATTTGGCTTGGTCCCCAAAGGACCTGCAGTGCTGATTCACTTAAATCTGTCACCACACACCAAAGAACTTGACATACAGAGCTGAAACAGAGCAAGGAAGTACTGCTGATATCCTTGACTGTTACGTATAAAACATTTTTCTTCTCCAAACTTGGTGAATCTTCATATCCGTGATTAGATTTCATAATCTTAGAGAGAGCTGGCCGTGGCTTGAAAACAGGTATCTTCTAGGGGGGAAAAAAAGGCAAAACCAGGCATTCAGAAACAATCAGTAGGTTAGTGAACCAAATGTTATTCTTCTCTGAGTCAGTAACAGGTGAAAATCTGGCATTTAGATGAGCTTCCTTTGGAAATAACCTTTAAGAAATATCAACCCACCTTGCTATCTCTCTGAAGCTCTGCCAGCTTATGACTGCTCTCTGCTGGAGTTTTTCCATCAGAACTGCATGCACTGTCTGCAGAAGGCTGGCCATGTTCTCCTTTGATTATCATTATCCTACAATTTCAAAAATTCTTGTGCTTTTCAGTGGCATATTATATATTGACAGGTTACTATTTCTTCATGCACACATTTGAACTGTAGTGTTCTACAACACTGGCAATTGCAGTCAATTTTTATTGAAATTATTTTGTTGGGGAAAATTTTGGTAAATAAATGTCTTTAGTTATTTATAAATGAACATTTAGTTGATTGACTTTCTTGTGTGATTCTCATGTAAGTGTAGAATATATTTTAGACAGTTTTCCTATGAAGACTCTCTTTTCAGCTTCTTTAACGGTGTTAGAATTAAAACGTTTTAGAAAGTAATTTCTTTAATGATATTGCACAAATTACTATAATTAAACATTTTAAAATTTAAAGGTTTTTACTTGAGTTGCATTTTGTTTAATTTATCATCTGAAAGCTTTCTGGTTTTCTTGTTTTCTAGTTTTGGAGGAGTATGTGGGGGAAATGAAAGTATGGTAGGAAAGCATTTCTCTAAATAAAGAAACCAAACCCAAATCTCCTTCCCCCTCTTCCCTCTCCTCTGCACTGGCCTTAGAATCTAGAAATCCTAAATTCTGACTTTGCTGCTCGCTCATTGAAGTATCTGCTTTTTTAAAAAAAGGTATACATATAATGTGTGCAAAAATTGTAATTCAGTATATATTTTGGGTGTGGAGAGATCTGAACACTCAACTGCAAAAAATATTTTCTTCTGCAGAATCCTTGTTGCCAGATGATTTTATAGTTCCTCTTGACTGGAAAGTTTCAAAGATGATCTATTTACTGTGGAAGACCTCTGTGGAGGTACGAATTTTAGGGGATTTTGGAAGACTTTCCAATATTTCAGGTGCAAAGAGGAATTACTCAGTTATTTGTCAGTAAATTTGCTTTATATCCACAATGAGGAGGTGGATGATTTATGTACTCCTCTGAATATTTCTAGAACCAGCTCAAGGCTGTGGTAGGATTCAGGTTTTGAAAGATCAGCTTCAAAGTAGTTCAAAATGGAAAAAAAATTTCTTTGATACCTGTGTCTTGACCTGGCCTGTGTTCATTAAGTACAACCTACCATCATCCAGATGTTTTCTCTCCTCATCTGAGCATATCTCATCCTCCACTACCTCTGCTAGAGCTGCAGCAGAGAAGTCATTCTGAGTGGCTGTCAGCAAGTTAATTCTCTTTGTCCAATTACAAAGTGTTAACCTGCAAATTACTTTTTTTCCCCTCATCATGGCTGTTGCTTTGTAAAGGTTTGCTTTTATTTTTCTGGTAGTGGCAATTAGGAAAATCCTGTAAATGCAATGAACTAGTGATTATAAAAAAAGAGCATGGACTTTGTTGTTTCCCCAAATAACAAAATCTCTTGTCACATACTTTCTTCTTTTTGCTGGACTATTGTTATCTATTTTAGGAAAAAGAGAAAGCAAATGGATTGCAGAATGGAAACAGCTTGACTGGTAAGTGTATTCTGTGATACAAAAACTGTGTAAAATTCTTCTTGTTGAAGGGCTTTTCATGACAAATAATTGATAACACTCCTGTTTGTGTAAAAGCACCAGGATGTGATAAATGAATTTGTGCTAGTGTTGATGTGTACATGATATGACAGAGCTATGGTTGCTGTGAATTGTCACTTTGTGTTTCCTGATGCAAGTGCTGTAATTCCTTGCCTTTTAAAGTTTCCCACATGGAATGAATCCAATACTTAGCTCAAGTTTACCCATTCCAGATCAGAAGAACGTTTAGCACGAGGAAGTCTTTCTTTAGACTTTACTTCCCTGAAAGTTTGATTATCTTCTGGACATGTTCCAGCACCTCAATGTTGTTCTTGTAGTGACAAGCCCAAAACTTTGAGGTGCAGCCTCACCAGTGCCCAGTACAGGGATACAATCACTGCCCTGGTCCTGCTGGCCACACCTCTACTGATACAGGCCAGGATACCATTGGCCTTCTTGGCCACCTGGGCACACTGCTGGATCATGTTCAGCTGCTGTCAACAGTACCTGAGGTCACACCCTTGAGCAGTAAGAAGTATCAGGGTTCATGTGAAGCTCTGGACTTCTGCATGCATGAATTCCTGCAGTGTGGAGGTTATGGAATAAGGTTGCTGGTTGTCGTTTTCTATTATTTCCGTGTTAGTGTAGTACAATTACAGAAGTTTCATAATATGAGTTTAAAAATACATAATAGTAGCTCCCTGAAAGCTGCTAGAATTTGCTGTCTAAAACAGGAGAGAATTTTAGAAAAAAAGGAAGCTTTTGGAGAGGAAGCATAAGATTCTATTGGGAATAGACACACAAACATGAGTGCTCTCTCTCACTCCCTGCTCCCCCCCCACCCTCCATGAGAGACAAATATGAAAGATTTCATATTTAGGAGGAGGAATCAAGAGTATTCTGTTGAAATAAAAGCTTATTCTAGAAATACTCTATCCTGACACAACAGAGATGACAGACTACATAAGATAATTTTGGCTGAAGTTTGTAATTTCTTTATTTTTCAGATGATATGATTAGTCTTGAAGATCTAACTAAAAATCACCAAGAGAATCAAGATTCTTCTGAAACACTTCCAGGCATGGAGCTGTTTCAAGGGATGATAGAAGATAACATCATGACCTGCACCAGCACTGGCTGTCTGGATGCTGCATTTCATCAGTCATGACTGACTATCTTAAATTCTGCATGAGCAGGTAATCAGTCACATTTGTGAATGTGTTTCATTCTTTTTTTTTTATATTTGACAAAACATCTAAAGAACATTGTTTGTTATATCTTTTAAGGTGCAATTAGTATCCCCCAAATTACTTGTTTTTCAATTCAATTAAGGTTGAGGGTTGTTCTGGGTTTGGTTTTTTTTAAGCCTGAATGGGGAAATGAAAAGGCAGTATTTGGTTATTAAAGGCATATGATTTTTTTTTTCCTCTGAAATCTAAAACCTGCCTGGTAAAGTAAAAGCAGTGTGGTAGGATGCCTAAGAGCTGGACTTCATTCCCAGTTCAGTTACTGTGTAATCCTTTATGAGTCATCACAGTCCTATTTTCCTCGTCTCTTTAGCATGGAGAGCAACGCTGCCTTCGTTAAAGGTCTAATTATCAAGAGCACTTATGAGTAATAAAACTGTATTTCACCAAGTTATGAAAAAGTGACAGCTCTCCTTTTTAGTAGAGAATCAGCAGCAGGACATCGCAATAAGACTCCAATATATTGAAGTGTTAATTTTTCATTAATGTTTTAATTTGGTGTGACAAAGTGTGCTACTGATTATTAGAAAGTATGCTATCATGTTCTTGCTCATCTTGTGAATTTTTGAACCCTTTGGTAACCTGGCAAAGTTTCTCCACCTTGTTTATGTGATATATTCTGGGTAGACTGTGATAAGAAGGAAGGACTTTGGGTTCCATCTGGAAAATGCTAGCTTAACTTCTGTGTCATTTGCCATCAGTTGTTCTTTCCAAAATGGAAAATGGATTAATCCGTAGCTTTTAAACTAGGAAACTGAGGTACACAGAAATAGAATAACTTGTAAACATGAGCAAACTGAGCCAGAAAAAAAGATTACAGATTCTGAAATTTAAATTATTCCTGTCCAGACATCACAGGACCATTGAAATATCATCCTTGTGGGGTCTGGTTGGGGGTCTTTTTCACCCTGTGCCTGACCTGAGCATGAGTTGATGGCTGGAGTAGTCGAAGAGGTGGATGTGCACCGTGTTAGGACAGCTATAAAAGCAAAAGTTGATGTTTTAGCAGGTTTTTTAATTTTCACGGTAGAGGTTCGTGTTAGAGAGGAAGTAGTTGAATAGTTTGGGTTGGAACTGAAACCTCTTGAATGGAGTTTCATTTGATTATGTGCATTTTTATATCATTGATTACAAAAATGACATTGCAGGCCATTTGCTGATTACCCTGTACCATCTACTGACATAGGAAGATGAGGTGAATCTCTGTGAACCACTTAGTACAGACAGCACTGATCTCACATGGTTCTGTCAGGATGGATCACTAATAACATCAAGAACTTCTGGTCATGATATTGTCCTCTTACATAATCAAATACTACAATATTTGTTAACCAAATTAAAAAAAATTCTAACCAAATACTTAGCCCTATGCCTGCTATATATTTTTAGAAGTCACTTATTTATAATATTGCACTAAAGGCAAGATTTTGGCTTATGGTACTGACTAACTGTTGGTGGCGTTTGTATCCTAAGCTACTATCCAGACATGTTCAGGTTATTGATTGAAATGTTCATATGTTAAAGAAACAGACATGAAGAGCTCTGTTATCTTCCCAGGAGAGAATTGTGATAAACGTGAATTTATTTTTTTTGCCTTTGTGTGCTACAAGAAAGGAAAGACAGACACTAGCAGAGTATCTTGCCTCATTATCGAAACCTCTATCTTTTTCCATTAAATTTACCCCTTTTGTCTGTTTGCTGTGCTACTTCCAAAATTGTTTGTCTTCCTCTCCTGCTTGTTGTGAGTGCAGCAGAAGTGACCCACAGCCCTGTGCTTGTGTGACCCAGCCACTGTCTGCTGTCATTAAACCCCAGATTGTTACGTGGTGTTGCAGTCTAATGCTCTACTGCATTGGCTTATGTTAGTTCTAGGAATGTAGAATCAAAGCAATGCAAATTTTACCGCGAAAGAAGACTCTCAGTCAGTGTTTGGTTTATAAAAAGGTCTTGCACATTCTCTGCAGGGCTCAGTCATGGAAATCAATGCTGGGGGGGTGGTTCAGTTGGAGTTTTGTGTTGGGAGGAGGAGGGAAGTTAGTCAGGTTTTGGGGGTGTTTGCTTTGGTTTGGTTTAGTTCAACAACTGAAATGAGTCAGGGAAAGTCCTGAAGGCAGTTGGAGGGAGAGGATGAGACAGCAGAGGTCAGATGGGTTTAGGCTGCTCTGGAGCTGTGATCTGCCTTCTCAGATCATGAATGGCTTGCTGCTGCCAAAGATGTGAAGTGCCCTTCCTGCCAGCCCTGCTTCAGAAATCAGCTCCAACACTTCCTGGCTGACATGAAGGCTATAATTTAGCTTGCTAACCCTGCAGGAAACAAATGGGTAGTTTTCTGCTGGACTGACAAGTTTAGATAAGCTGTAAAGCCCAATTCAGTGCCAAAGCTGTGGCAAGGGAGCAGACGAGGCTGTGCTGCTACAGATACAAGGAGAGGACGTGCAGGGCACCCTGTTTGGGTGTCAGTCAGCTCTGATACCAGGGACCACGTACCATGCAACCAAACCTTCAGATGAAAGGCTGCTTTTAAGATTTTTAATCCTACAAATGTAGGATGTTAAAAAAATTAAGAAAAGTATATGAAAAGGAAGAAGCATGTCTTAGGTTTTTCAGTCAGATCATGCTCACAGTCAGGCACAGGATAGAGGGTAACACAGACCCCTAACCAGACCCCACGTGGGTATTCCAGCGGTCCTCTGAAGTCTACATGAGTAGGTACTGTAAAAGGCAGGTGAGTTTTTCTCATTGATGGTGCCCCTGGTTTTGAGGGATAAGTTGTCTTTCCTCACCACGAGGGAATTCTCCTCTGCTCTCTTGATTAAAGCAGTCTCGCCAAGAATTATGTCCCAGAGTGACTGTAAAACTGCTGAAGTGGACAACTGTAAATGTTGAAATGGATTTGATTTCATCAAATGCCAGGGGGAAAAAAAAGCTAAGAAAACTGAGACATTTCTACTGAAAACTTTTAAAAACATAGGAAATAAATGGAGAGCTAATATGATCATTCAGTCCCTTCAGATTGGAAAGTAAACTGAGCATTACTGGCCAAGTGCAACTTAAACTGTTAGCCAGATGATTGTTCTTCTGTACTCATGTTGTGTAAGAGTGTTTTCATTCCAATGGGAGAGTGAACAGTGGTGGTGTTCCTCTGTGAAAAAACAGGGTTAATCTCAAGCTGTTGTGAGAGTTCCTTATTGAAGCATTGGCAGCACATCAGTATTTGTTCCGCAGATTAAGCAAGAGTTCCCAGTTTAAAAAATGTTGAGATCATTGAAAACAGCATTATTTTGGTGCCTGTAAGTTTTTCTTAGGCAAGGACTCACAGGTGCCAAACACAATACAAATGTAGCACAAGAAGACAGAACCTGATGTCAGTGTAAGCATTTATCTGCAAGACCACTGCAAAGTAAAAGCTGGCATGTTTCTTTTTGAAAGAGTAGTGTTCAGGAACTCCCTGCAGGAAGACTTCTTCCACAACAGCCTGGTAGGGTGTGGCTTTGATGAGACAAATCTCTTGGTGCTGTGCGTTATCACTCCTCCTTTCTCTGGCTGTGCTATTCCCAGCACTTCCCATTGCTGCATGCAATGCTTCTGCAGTCAGAGTGAAGCAGTTCAACTCCATAATCCAATGCATGAAGATGTCCAAAAAGTTTTTTGTCTAGACCGTGGAGCTCATCTAGAGTCCATGAGATAGCAGGACTAAGGCAAAGGAATAGGAACATATAGCTGGGTCAGGCAGGACTGTCTTTTGTCTAGCATGAAGAAATTAATCTAGAAGATACAAAGCAAACTAAAGCAGTCTTCCAGTATTGCCACAGAAAATATCATCCCATGGCCAAACCTCTTTTAGTTGGTACTTTGATACCGTGATAATAATTAAAAAAAGAAATTTCTCTGTCCTTTGACATTTAACCACTAATAGTAAACAAAATGAAGCATGAAAAAGTGGACAGAATTATGAGCAGAAAACCTCACCTACTTTTTTCAGTGCTTATCAGAAAACCTGGGCCAAAAATGACTTAAGCAGAGAGTATAATTACCTAGGGGGAATAAGAGCTGCCCACAGCAGTGTTTCTGGAGCTCTCAGAAAAGACCAGCCATTGGATTGGGTTGTGTGGGTGCCTCATATGAACTCTGTAACTTGGAGGTCTGTGAGGTCCTGAGTGAACGTAACAGGGTAAACAATTCATATTGTAACAAAACAATTAACAGATGTAGCTGTACAATATTAGTTTTGGTTGAACAACTGTTCATTATATAGGGTTTGTGAAGTATAGAGAAAAAAAAATCCACTGTGTTACTCTTCTCCCTGTTTTTTAGCCTTGAGATTGTTAGGTCCTTATTGCCTCTAGTTTTGACATCCAAATTCTTCTCTTCCTTTTCCATTCTCTCTACATTTCTTTATTTTCCCTTTGCTTTCTATTATCTTCTTCCTCTCCGTTCTTTTTAACTTTTTAAAGAAATAACCAACAACTGAGTATGAGAGACTTTAAAAAATGTCGGACAGGTGAACTCTTCTCAGTCTGGATTTTCTTTCTCAGGTCTCAGCTGTTAAAAGTCTTGTTGCAGCCTGTGTTGTTGTGGTATTTCAGCAGAACCTGTTCTCTTTTTATTTCAGAAACTTCTCACTTTGATTCCACCATGGAAGGACTTCAGTTGGCCACTAAGGATTTTAAATGGGAGGGATAACCTGGAAGAAAGAAACCACTGTAGATTTTTTTTTCTTTGTCTGTCTTCTCTCCCACAGGCCCCCAGTATCAACCTTTCTGTCTATGTAATAATGATCAAAATTGAGATGACTTTGGGTATGGCAAAATGTCACTTTCTGAAGCCATTTGGGATTTATACTTTCTCTGTATAACCTCAAGTGCGGTACAAACAGTTTGAGAGTGGAGACCAGAAGCATTTGTTGCCATGGAGGGGCGAGCTTCAAGCTCTGGTATTTAATTTACTTGTGTGGGAATCCAAGATGTTGCCACACAGTGATGCTTGCCTGCAGGGAAAGGTGCCTGTTACATGTGCCTGCTTCTGCCTTTCACCCTGTCAGTCATAATTACATCCTAGTCCCTTTACAACCTCAAGTGAAATAAATCTTCATCAGTCACTCCTAATCATTCATCCAGGGGTATGCAACTTACCTTCTTTTCTCCTGAAATGAGGCTTTATGCTTCCCTTTATGCTTCCCTTCAGCTAGACTCATTTGGGACTACAGAAATAAGAAAATTTCACTATAGACCTGATTCAAATACACTGGAGGAAGGTTGTATATGGGTTGTGTTAGACTGAGAAGATGTATAACTAGCACTAGTAACTAGTGATTTGATGTTTCTGTTAGAGGAATTAGAAATATTTACATATGTAGAGTGAGCTAAATTATAATTAATTATAAAGAGTAACCTCTGTCAATTATGAGGCATCCATAAGGCTGGACATTTCTTTGTAGGGAGAAGGAGAGACATAAAAGACAACTGTCACCTCACTTAACGGTGAAAAGTGTGACAAAAGATTAATGAGAAGAAGAGAAGCAAGGAAACTTAGGTTGTGTCTACTTATCAGAAATATTTCTCACCTCCGCAGCTTGCAGATCCAGAATATTTATCCATTTGTTCATTCAACTCCTCTTCCTCACCTTTCCCTGCACCTGTTTCATTATGCACCAGTTGATGATCCAGGACCTGACTGCACTCATGCTGAAGCTCCACTGCAGCCTAAATTGCCAATGTGTCCCCACTTTCTACCTATATACTGCATCTACATGTGAGCAGTCAACAATGTATGCATTTCTAAATTAATGTTGTACCATTGGTGAAATTTACTGGCCACACTGTCTTAATACATTTGCCAAGTACATGTGTGTGTTTTCCTTGGCTGGGAATGTACTGCTCTCCTACCAGCAGAACATTATACAAAATGTAATGGGGAGGTGGAAGGTAATTCATGTCAGTGCTAACTGCAGCTTCAGACTTAGCTGAGGTACCAGTGGCAGCAGAAAAGTTAGTTTGATTTCAAGAAAATGTCACTCAAGGATTAATCCTGTATTCCTGCTTCCGTTTACTGAGACAGAAATCTGAATGCCTTTATTTTCTCTTACTGGATAATGACCTTACAGAAGGCTTAAACTAAAAACAGTTTTCAAAATCTCGCAAAATCATGCACAAATCATGTTATGCCTCTAGGAGGTTGTTGTCAATTTAAGTTTACTTTAACTCTCCCCTCCACAGTATCTATGAATTTCAAATTTTATGTATCTTTTTTCCTGCCACTTTTTTCCCCACTTGCTTCAGCTTCAATTAGCGTTGGTGTGCCATGTGCCCAGGAGCTAAGCTTTCTCCCTGTATGTGAACCCTCTCCTTAGCACTATTGGCAAACATCAGAACCTAAGGCTTCAGCCTTGAGGTTTGGTGGCAGTGTGTCCCTGTGGCATAGCTGAGGCTGGCTTCTAACCAAGCTGGGATTGACGCCATGTGTAGTTCTAAGAGGGAGAGTGTGGTACCACACAAACTATTTTTGGGCTTACTAGAAACTATAATTTCTTTTGCTTCTGTGGTGATCGAATTAATGCAGATCAGGTTTTCTTCAGAGGAAATAAATCTTGTTAAACTTACTTTACTTTCTCATGTGATAATATGTTTGAAAAAAAAAATTGGGTGGTGTACTGAGCGTGATGCACAGGGTCATCCGTGCGGTGCAGGGTGGTTGTTTAGCTACATCCCCTCGATGATTCCCTCTCATGCCTGCCCTGTAGTTCGCAGTACGTACAGGCAGCACATGGGATTGAACACTTTCGGCGCTGGCTTGTGTTCTCCTGCCTTTGAGAATATGGAGATTAATCCTGATTTTAATTAATCAAAGATGGTATCTTTGGGCTAAAGTTCCGGGTCGAAAGCGAGTGCCGCAGCTGAGAGTTCGCCGGTACGAGCCGCAGATGCCCGTCCTCGCCTGTCTCTCTCTCCTTAAGGCAGCTTTCGATTTCACGGGGCAAGGCTCGGGCGCCCGGGCCATGGAGGGACGTGGGTTCCCGCCCGCCCGCGGGGGCCGTGGGACGCGGCGCCGGGGCCGGGGCCGGGGCGGGGGCCGGGATGGGGAGCGGCTGCCACGGGCCCCCCGTCCTGGGCCGGCCCCGACCCCGCTCCCCGCCGGGCCCGGGCCCGGGGCCGCGGCGATGGACGAGCGGCTGCTCCGCGCCCTCGGGGGGCTCAGCCTGGGGCCCCAGCGGGGCCGCGGCGGCGGGAGGCTGGTGCTGCTGCGGGGGCTGCCGGGCGCCGGGAAGAGCACCCTGGCCAGGTAAGAGTGTCCCCCGCCCTGGCTCCGGCCGCCGCCCGGCCCCACCGCAGGGTATCGGGTGCGGCTGCGGGGGCAGGAGCGGAGCAGCCGCAGGGGCCGAGCCGGGCAGTGCTTCGGGAGCCGTGTGCCCGCCCGGACCCCGCGCCGCGGCGGAGAGCGGGGCACGCTCGCTGCAGACCCCGCAGGGCACCGGGGCTGGTTTGGGGGCTCGGGGGAAAGCGGGAGCCTTGACTGGTGGCAAGCCGCTCGAAACCCTCCGCATCCCGGCTCCAGGCCCGCTCCAGGCTGCGCTGCTCCTGGTACCTGTGGCTGGTCTGGGTGTCCTGCCCGTGGGACCGTGGGTGCTGCTGTTCCCAGCGAGCGTACTGCAGGGAAGCTTCTAGGAAGTTGGACTGAACACTCCGACCAAGGTGGTGGTTGTTGTTTCTTTTCTAAAAAGCGTCAGATTGGTGGTGGGGCTTTTTTCTTTGGTATTTTTTTTTGTTGTTGTAGGGTTTTTTGGTTTGGTTTGGGCGCTTTTTCTCGGTTAATCACAAACACAGTAAAGCATTCCCCCTCTCTGACTGAAAATTGACAACTCTGACTTCTGTTTTTGTGATGTCCTGCACTCCTGATCAGAGCTGTAGGGCAGCTGTGTGAAATGGGCAGAGGAGACCAGTCCACTCTCTGACAGTTCAAAGACTGATTAAAAATAGGTGGAAGAACCCAGTGTGGAGTACTGGGAGACAGCACTGCAGTCAGCATGACACAGTGTAGCTGTAGTATCGTATCACAAAATCTCACAGTCTGGTATCACACAGCTCCCAGTGCCACCCACTCTCTATCAAAAGAGGAACATGCACTGTCTTCTTACTCTGCTGGGGTGAGGAACTCATGCTGGGATCATGGGCTGCCACAGGAAGGGCTCTGCTGTGAGAGGTGGCAGCATGAAGCTGAGTGATATACTGTGTTCATCTACAATTTCCTCTTCTCAGTGCAGTACTTCCCTGTCACATTGGGCCTTCTGCCTCACTGCACTTTGGCAAGTGAAGTTATTTTATAAACGGCCAAATGCTGTGTTTTACTCACACCCAAAATGCACGTCTTTCCTGTAAGAGGCTGTGTAAGTGCAGGCCTGCTCCTTCAGAGGGGTTGGGTCTTCTCATAGCAAAGTAAGAACGTAATGGTTTGGGGCCATATTCTCAGGCAGCACAGGTAACTGACCCACTTGTATTTTTTAGGTCAAAACACAAGGTTAATTATTAATGACAGAATTACAAAATCAGGTGTAAGTATTGTTTTAATTCCCTGAGAGATTAATGTTTGAGTATCTTACTCTGTTTCCAGCCCCTGTTAATCGTATCATTGCATTTAGCTGTTCAGAAGTACACTGATTGAAGGACAGCCATTAGAGCAACATTTAATACCTCTCCATTAACTCTGACCAGATATGGAAGGACTGTGCCCAAAAACTTCTTTTGTTATTCCCACACTGTGTAGCCTGTGGTGTTAATAAATGCAATGTGCCAAGCAAGGCAATGTTTGCAGAAAATGACAGCAACAAAGCTCATTGTAAGATCCTACTGGAGGAGGAAGGTGGTGGTTTACTTGCAAAAGCCCTCCAGAAACTCATTTTATGGATTCAAATTTATTTTCTCAGATTTTACTCACAGTATCACAGCTAAATACCTGCAGGCACCAAGATGCATGTGCACAGGTGGTCTGTCCAAAATCAGAGCGGTCAAGGGCCTTCACCTGTCCCGTCCTTGCTTCCTCTGCTGGATTGCTCTCAGTTGGTAGTGACAGGGTGAGTTTTGGTCAGGTCTGGTGTGCCATCTCGCAGCCATCAGCTTCTACGGCTGCCATCTTTTTGCCTCCACATTCAGCTTACTTGGTGCTTCATGAATCTTAGGTGTTGGGGATTTTTCCCCATTATTTTAGTTTTCCCATTTTGGGTGTCTTTTCAGGCTCCGTGCTACTTCTGGAACAAGAGGAAGGAGACAGGCGTGTATGGGCTGATGTGACCCGCTGGCCATCCTCCTGCTCTCAGAGCATGAGTCTTCCAGCAACATGTCCCTGGTGCTGGGCCTCAGCTGAGTGCTGGCCTTGGGGGGGAGGTGTAAGCAGCACCTTTCCCAGATTTTTTGCTGTTAATTATGTTCTTGGCTGTCAGTGTGTACCACTGTTTTAGCCTTTGCTCTGTTGTTTCTTCTGATGTGTTCATACACGCTTCCCTTCATTCATTCATTCATTCTTCATATCAGCCAGCATTTCAGTTACAACCTGCAGATCTTTACAGTGCTCAGAAGTCACAAACTGTGCACTGGTGATATCACAGCCCAGTCATATCTCCAAGAGAAAGGCCCCTTTTCAGTTCATCACAAAATCTTAAGGAACAAACTCAGATCCATGACTTGTTTCCCTGACTTTTCAGTGTCACCGAGCTCAGTTTGGACACAGCTTTGTAAGATTTAGGTACAGCATCTTCATTAAAGTTATTTCCCAACCCCAGTTGTTCTCCCAGCTCAGAGCAGCCTGACATTGGCATGGATCAGTTCAGGTCTGGTTTTGCATTTCTAATAAAGACAAAAAAGGATCCACTTGCAATTATTGAAGAATGAGGAGTTGGTCTGCTCACCACCAAGCTCCAAAACTTTCCAATTGCTTCACTGTTAAGAATATCCTTCCCTGAACCACGTATTTTGGGTGACCCCAACCACCTCGCTGTAACTGTTCACCACACCAGCAGAAGCCCACAGGAGAAGGACCAGCTGGAGTCACATCTCCAGCAGTCTCCATCAGGCAGGTGTGACACACTCCTCCTGAACACATTGTCCTCAACTTCACAATACAGGTTTTATGATCAAACTGAGGCAACTACTGAGAAAACAGTTAACTGAGGTTCAGTAGCAGGAATAGCTTCCAAAAATGCCAAATGCCTCCAAAAAGTAAAATGAGCTGCATACAAGCTCATACCTGCTTCCCCAGCAAGCTCTTTATTGCATGGTAGGTGCACTTCCAGCTCTTCTACAATACATTGCTCAACTTACACGTAAGCCTTTATCTAGCAGTTTAACTCAAGCATTAAGCTGGGCATGATCAAACATGTAACTTTTCAGCCACTGCTGTTGATTTATAGCTCAAAATGAGGTTGTTCTTGTACTCCCTTATGAACCACAAAGGGAGCAATCTTCCAGAACAGAAGGGAAAAAATGTACTGGCACTGAGGCATCACTGCTTGGCGTAATCCATGTCTTGTCCAGTTCTCCCTGCTGCCGTTGCCTGGTTCATCCCAGCACCTCCAGTCCTGGCCTGACATGTAACCAGCACCCAACCCTGACCAGCACCTGACCCCCTTGCAGAGCTGCAGCTCTGATGGGTTCATGGACTTCAGCTCTGCAACTCCTGCTTCCAGACAGCATTGTTATTGCAAACATTTCCCCTTGTATAAAACCACTTCAGGTGAGTCTCCTGAATGTGTTGATCAAATATAATATCATCCTGTTTCTTTACAAAATGGAGCCATGGCTTGAGCCCCCGTGGGTGAGACAAAGGCGTGTCTGTGCTTTACAAGCAGCACCTGACTGGCTCATCTGGGCAAAGTCCTCTGGGCACTAGAAATTGTTCAAACACTGTAGACAGGTGATAATGCTGAGCATGTGCACCAGATCTCACAGTTCTGCTTTTCTGCTGAAACAAAAAGCTTTTAAACACCTTTTAAATGCCACAGAATGCAACATAAAGTGTTGGGAAGAGTGACCAGAGCAAGTGGTTGCATGTGGTGTCAGTATGTATATGTTCTGGTCTCCAGGACATTGGAAGGTGTATGAGAATATACTGGCTCTGAGATCTGCCAGACGTAGCATCCTGCTGCCTTCTGATAATGTTCCTTCCAATCTGCTTACCAGGCTCAAATCAGAAATTTATTTTCAAATTTTCTGATGAAAAAGCATGAGAGCCTATGGAATGCAGTTATGGAATTTTTTTATCTCCAATGATTATTTTTGTTTACATTATTATAAAATTATATATAAAATAATTATTATAAAATTGTTACAGTTAGAATATGAAATAATTGTTTGAAAGCACTGAAGATGCTCTTTAGGGAAAAAAAGGGACTTCAAAAATGTTATAAATCCTGGGAACACATCTTCAGATGAATAACACAGGAGACGTCTTTAACCCACCTGTCTCTTCAGTGGGGCAGCTGTTACAATGCTACTGTGGTCAAACAGAAACAAAGCTGTATTTTCAACAGAAAGAGTCTCCTTTTTTGATCTCAGCAGCCATCGTAAATGTGGCCAGGGAGAGACAGCAGATGAGCGTCCACCAACACCAGCC